AAATAGGATTAAAATAAAGGAAATATCGAATATGATTATAAGCTAAAAGAAGAAAAATATTTATGCTTTAAATGGTTACAAGTTACAAAATAATAAACTGTTGATCTGATTCAAAATTGTTAACAGATTTATGTATCATTGATTAAAAAAAAAGAAAAATGGATGTATACACATTTAAAGAAAAATCAACTATTTAAGAATGTAAAATTAAAAACGTTGGTAACTATTTGAAAATGTACATGTCGCTACGGTTTAAATAAAGCGCATGGAAATATTCAAATAACATGAAAATGTAAAACGCGTCAAATGACGAACAAGGTTAGAACGAAAATTGACTATTCACATTTTTTTTTACATCTACATCTCGATTCGCATGGAAAAATAATGATCACCCTGTGTTTATTTATGTAAAAAAAAAAAAAAGAAAAAAACGGGAGTACGTCCGAACAACACACGAGTGTGTGACTGCGCGAGATTTCTTCGTCGTCGTAGGATGTGGCACAAAAACTCTGCGAAACGGAAAACGTGTGTGCGGCTGACAAACGTTAAACAAATACAGGCCACGACGAATTTTTCACTACGTTTCCGTAGGAATGCACGCGCGGCCGTCACCGGCACCACAGCGAGAGACCACGGTTGACACATCCGCCGCCCGTACTCCGCTGATGCTCCGGTCCTTATGGCCGGTGTAGTACGTGCGCGTGCGTTCGTGTATTCGGCATGTGCATGTGTGCCGGCTCGTATGCGCTGGACCGGCGAAGGCAATGACAATGACCGGCACTGTCAGGCCGCGCAGTGGTTCTCATGGTGGTGTTGCGCGAGAAAAGATATTCACACACGTAGACACCTGTGTATATGTACAACACTGTAGGTACACAAAGAGGAATACGGTGGGCTGACGGCCGTAGTAGTGTTAAAAAAAAAATAAAGAATCCTAAACCGGAAATTATATTTACTGAACCTGAACAAGAATAATATCGTCGTCGGTGATGACTACTACTACCGCTGCCGGAGACACCTTCTGTCGTGGTACTACGGAAGAAGTGGTACCGCCGAACAATAACAAAAACAACCGTGTGCAGCCGGGAGGAAATTGCAAATCGGTTTTGGATGACGGGCTGCTCTTTATGGAACATTTTTTTTTTTTTTTTAATTTAAATTTTTTCCTTATCTCTTTGTGCGATAGCAAAACGACGATTTCGAAAACCCCATGTTGTTATTAATACCTTTCACCCGGAGAATCCTTATACACCGGAAATCCTCGGCCGTGTGCCGCCAACAGCGAACGCAACCGGCCGATTACTGTAGCTAATTTGGAATCTAGATTTACCGAGCCGGTAATATTATTTGTTATTATTATCATTATTTTACACAAACTTGTTTCGTACGAAGGAGACGACGAACTATTAAGTATTTATTTTGATAGCAATGATATTTTTAAGTGCATTGTAAATAATGTTCAGAGATAACTTGTGTTCGTACGGTAACTGCACAACGAAATAATACACACACTCCGTTCTACATAATATTATTTTTAATTTGTAGACACTCGTGGTATCTTCGTTCTTCTTCGAGTATTAAGTATATCCGCCGCTATTGAGCAATATTCTTGCGCATAATAATATAATATATATTTATTATTTCGACATTCGTCACGGGATAGCTGAGCAAAATTCGGATTACGTAAATTTCTGCGGTTTATATACGATTATCCTTCATGTTGCGATATGAAAATATACGGTGAAAACTTAACATATAGAAGCGTCAACGTTATCCTTGTGTCATAATACCGTTGTTATTCAAGGAGAAAAAAATCAAAAGTTCTGATAGTGATCAACAAAATAAAACTAAATGTGTTATATAATAGTATTTAATAACAATTAATAAGAAAATTTAATTGCCTAGACATGGAAAAATGTTTAAAATATTAATAATATGAGAGTTGAAAACGAAACCATTCGTTTAAACACGTAAAACACGAACATTATCGTCCAATCTAATAATAAACGTATGAAAACGTGTACTGAGAATTTCGGCAACGAGATAAAAATATATATTTTTGTTTACAGTAGTAATCGACTGGCAGTGCCACATAAATGTTTAGCAGGGCAAAATAAAATCTTTATATTGGGATAGACTGGAATAACTCACGATTCGAAGGTTTCTAAAAAAAATATTTGTTATCGATTTAAAAACATTTTGTACAATTCTATCGAATAATAATAATAAAAATTTGAAAATTAGTCCTATGCAATAGAAGTGGTACACACAAAAATAAATAATACAGATAAAACGCAGTAATGTAAGAGTTTTATCGGTGAATTATGATACGCAATGTACTCATCACGCGCGCGTGCGTTTTACGGAGAAAAATATCAGGTCGCGGTATTTATAGCTTTAGAAAGTGTAATGAAACAACGATGTTTAATTAATTTGCGACGAAATATGTTGGTACAATAGAATATAAATGTGAATAAGTTTTTTTTTACAAAAATTATAGGTACTTAGTTAAAATAAATTTCAATGCTCCGTCACTGTGCCATCATCGTCGACTCAGTGGATGGTAAAGGAAACAAAGTAAACCGTATCATAAAATTATAATTATTTTCTATTATTATGTGAGGCATTGTTCCGTAAACTTTACATGTAGGATAATGGTTAACATAACACAACAGGTACCAAGGAAAAACAATGAGAACGCGCGTTACTACTGAAAAGAGAACCTAGGTCCGCTAATTTCTGCGAGCCTCCGCCTTTCGTTTTCTATTTTTTTTTTTTTTTAACGCGTAAACAAAACAATAACACTGTACATGATTTGCTATCCTTACAGGCGTAAAATACTTGTTTAATGGTGACTATGGAGTAAGAGAAATATCGGTTATTACTAATTACTATATTATGGTAAATAACATCGAAACAGTTAAACGCACGTAGTGTGTTCGATTGGAAATTCGTAGTACTGACCTGTCAGATAAATGTTGAAAGGATAGCGTGTTCAGTGAGGCACACAATCTTTTCGAAAATATAATATTATTTATTATTAATAAACCATAGCACTGAGCGACGAGTGAAACGTGGCCCAACAACGATACTACGGCCAAGTGAGCGCATTTTTCTAGCGAACCACAAGAGTGGAGCAGCTGGGGCAATACGCAGGTCAACAACGTGATGACACACGTAAATACCGGATTACGGGACGAGCGCAATACCCCGAGGAAACATCGTGCACAATAAAATAACGAGACGACCACATACCCCAAAAAAATGTTCTATTATTTTCCATGCCCCAAAACTATCCTTTGGACATCGATAAATCAAACGACCGGCACTAATACGATGAACGATCATTGAAACAATATTTGGTTTAGAGATGGAAAAATTGTGACTCGTGCGTGTGACCAAAATATGTTGAATGGGCACTATTGTCATTTTAAAATAGATTCGTCCTTGAAACACCAAATTATCGTCTAATTAGTACCGTAAAATATACACCATTTAGGCATGACAAAATAAATTACATAATCGTCACACATCGTAAGTCCAGTACAGATTTTATCGAATTCGTGGTCGCGGCTGACGAGGAATTTCTAACGCCCCATACCAAAAACCATCGAAATAGTTGTACTTTGCTGATCACCGATAGTAGCAAACAATGAAAACATGCCGTTAGCAAAATAATATGATGTACACTTTAAAAAAATTCACAAAAACTTCATTCAGAGTCGCACTAACCTCACATTGATAATCTACGAAGTACGAGTATACATAACCAACAGGTGGCTGACTCGATAAATAATACTGTTAAATATTAGATTAACGAGTATAAAATCGCAAATTTTACAATACATCCGTTTCGTACGGTTAAAAATCAAAATCAAAATAACTTATCACACAAGAATCTAAATTAAGCCACTAAATCGTAATTACCGACCGGACGAGTTTTGGTTAATTTATCGAAAAATATGACCGCACGAACAGCAGATGCATCCGGAGACCCTGGAGCAATTAAATCAATTCGACGCTCGACGCATTTATCATTCCGCGTACTAGCGATGGACGCACGTAAATTCGCAGTTATCGTTATCCTTCGGCATTGCATTTATTGAGACGTACCTACCCATTATAATGATATTATTTTCAAAAGGTTTATAAACTGAAGCGGCGGACTACTTTTCGTGGTTTAACGTTGCCCAGCGGCAGTAGTTTCGGTTTAACGCTTTGGAATCATCTAAACACACACGAACTAGTTCCCAGTCGACAGCGTGCGTTACAGTTTTAATTAAAACATTTCCGACGTTCGCAGTGTCGTTGGTCTGTGATACGCGTCGTCTTACACGGGATACCACACGAAAATGTGGAAAAATCTTTGACAAGATACAATTCTGTTATCGTTATACGTTGTCGTACTCGACATTACAGTACTGTTACTACTGGCACTACTGTCAAGGTTTCTCAACGTGCGTACGTAATAATAACAATACGATGGAGTTTTACTCTCGCATTATTATTATTATTACTACCATCCACCCACACATCCCCCCTTCAATCCGTGCGTCGACAGATGGGATGGGATTTAAAAATATTTATTTCGTAATGGATACGACATGCGCATTAACGTGTGCTGATACACTTGGGTCAAAAATTGTGCTTTCAAATACGTCAATTAGAACGCTTAATTTTTTTCTACATAAGTCTATCCCCAAATCGTACGAAAGAACCGAATAGATAACGTACAGCGTATCCGTGGTCCGAAGCTGCTGTTATTTAAGTACTATAACGGAATTCCTACGAGGGTGATAGGTCAGTGAAACAGTGACGGCTATTGTGTTCAATCGACACTCCGCCACCGTCGTATTTTTAATTATTATTCCGTTATCACCTAGTCGGAATATGGAAGTGTATGTGTATGTGTATGTGTATGTGTGTGTGTGATAAGCGATGGACGTGCAACAAGTAAACAAAATTGCTCGTTTAATATTAAACAATAAGTGAGCACTTACTTCAATTCGACTGTCGCCTTAGTATTGCAATAACAGTCGTGATAATAATAATTCGACAAGCAAGTCGTGCTGACGTCCATTTGTCGGTGACACGGGGAGGCAAAACGGCCGGTGCGTTACGACCCTTCTACCGAATACCGCGTAGTGCGATACTGACGACGAAATAAAGCTTCTCGTTCAAGGCTGTGTGTTCGCGACGTGTCGACGAATCACTGCGCACGAGGGATATCGAACTGTTTATTATTAATATTTTCGTGCTGCTACGGGATGAAAACGAACGCTTATCATTACTCGAACTACGATCGCACGAGAGACGGAAATAAAAATATAACGGAACGTAATAAAAGAAATATGAAAACAAAACGGGAGCCGAACACAGAGAACACAACTGAATAAAAAAAGAAAAAACAAAACAAAACAGACAGATTTCGGAACGCAACCGTACGAAACGACGACAAACGCATTCGAACACCGCCGGACGGACTGATGAAGAATAATAACAGCGGCGACAACAACAACCGGATTCGGTGCGCTAGAGGGACGCGAATCGGAATTCGTATGGCAACGCGGGCGTGGCGGTGGTGGTGGTGTAGCAGCGGCGGCGGCGGCGACGGCGACCGATGTCTCTTCGGTGGCGGGGCCGGTGCCCGGTGTTCTCGCATCCTGCCGCCGGTCGACGTACGTACGCGCGCGCGCGCACCGTCATAATTAGGGGTTACCAAACTACTGCTCCAGTCGAATGGACGTACGCGCGCGCGATCGGCCGGGCGTGACCGAACGACCGTGTACCGCCGCCGTATCGTCGGCCAAGTACCGCGAACGTGGTACTTGCAGTCGGAGGTACAAGAAATAGAGCGTCGCCAACTTCCAGTCAGTCGGCACGACTCAAGATATTCCACATCAGTATTTTAGCCCTATTTTTATTAGTATTATTTTTAGAACGATTGCACTAAATCTCATATCATCAGCATTTCTCGTAATCCTCGTCTCGGCGTCCGTTCGTTTGTGCGATCATTCGCAAATGATATGAATTCTGTTACACCATCATCGTATGAAAGCTACTCCAGTTTTACTAATATTCGTATTAGTGTCATCAACAGGTTTCCAAAATCTGCACTTGTTTTCGAGTGTTTTGAAGATTGAAATTTATCTGGCTCAGGTTCACTGAAGAAGGATGGCCGCTTTCAAATAATGGTGGACAGATGAATTACATTTTTTTTTTAAATCTTATTGGATTTGATCTTTTATAGTTTTTTGAAGCTGTATAAATAGGTTTTCCATATTTGGCAGGGTCTCACCGGGAAGTTCTAAGAACTCTAGGACGGAATGTATAAAAATACTTAATTTTGTAATAAAAATTATTTTTTTTTATTTTAGACCAAATATTTGTTTATTTATTTAGATTACATAAAAAAATATAAATATTTTTAATTTATTGCACAATACTTGGATTCAGTGGCGTATACAAGGGAAGATGTCGGGGTAAAATCTCTCCAAGGTCGTTTTTAAATATTATAAAATAATGTTCTTAGTGCGAGGGCGTTAGAAACATAAAAAAAAAATTAATGATAAAATAAAAATAGTGATTTATTTGCAAATGATCCCCCCTCCACACACACAAAAGTTTTGTATACGCCACTGCTTGGATGACTATATTTTTCGAAAAATTTTGCTTTTTTCTACAGTTCTTTGTTTCTTTGACATATTTGTAGAACTCTGCGTAAATCATGTTGTAATTAACTTGACAATGTAAAATCGACTCCATAGTCTTTGGGAGCAGGTGATTTCGTTCATCAGTCCTTGGGCCGACATTTACGAAAAAAAATCTTACGTATACGTTTAGTCGTACAAGTTTTAAGACATAATTTTTTTGTTTTCGATTGCATATTTATAAGCAATAAAACAAAATTAGTGAAAGTTGCAATACACAGTTTCAATCGGGAGAATTTATTCTTTTATCGGGACGTCGGGACTGAAATTTCAACGGCGACAGTCACGATATTTTGGGACGTATAACAACCCCATATATAAATAACTGTGGCCAAGTGGATGAATAATTATTGTTCAACCGTTCTAATAATTTCGAGTATTCTTACCCGTAGAAAAATAAATTAGATTATCGTACTTACTTTTATTTGCTGAAACGAATCGGAAAACGTTAATAACATTCTTTTTCCAGACAGACGGAAGTGGTCGTTTCATTCGCCGGGGCCAAACGGATGCCAAATAATCTAATCGAAAGCGAGTAAAACGAAATTCCAACATAAACGATTCGAAATCTTGAACTCAACGACTAAAAGCCGACTTTTTTTTTTTTATAAACTTTCGACTAACGATTCCGTCGTACAATCGTCATTCACGAGTACAGCCATTCGCTGTTCATGTTCGTACAATATTACGCTGTGTACGATAACCGTAAAACCATAATCAATCGTCGACGATGACATTATTGAGGCTGGTACGCATAGTTCAATCGTTGTCCAATATCAGCTACACCAGTGGTTTTCAACCTTTTTCAGATCGTGACCCCCCATTTTTTATTTTTGTGTAATGCAACCCCTTCAAAAAAAAAAAAAATATGTTTTATTCATCAAAATTTGATTTAATAACCGATAAAATATTTACATGATAAACAATTTTGATTAATTAAAACTTAAAAATTTCACAAAATAAATAATTTACTTTGATTTTTTTTAAATAATATGGAAAAACCATTTCATCCATTATTTTTGGCGACCTCCAAACCTATGATTCGCGACCCCCTTGAGGGTCGCAACCCCCAGGTTAAAAACCACTGAGCTACACTATTTAGTAATATTATTATTATTATTATTATTATTAGTATTTTCTATAGATTGAAAATAGGTGCGGATCTAGTGAGGGCGAACAATCGCCCCTCATTTATTTTTTTAAATTATTACCAGCAGTTCTTATTACTTGATTACTACTGAAAAAAATATTTATAAAAAATTTTTTTTACATAAAACTAAGAAATTTACTTTGTATAATAATTTCCAAATAAACATAAGTTATTTTAAATTTCAGACTTGTTTTTAATTTTTATCTGATTCTTTTATTCTAATAATCTAATTGCGTATCGCTGGAAATCATTCGGTCTCTAATTATATAATAAATAACTTACTAAGATTGCTAATATTTACGGAATATGCTGGGAAACAGCAAAATATACATGATCATATCTGTATTTCATAAAATCAATAATTTTATACTTACGTACTTATGTCATACGACTTGTTTATTCGTATTATTCGTATACTCGAGTAAAATTAATTTTTATTTCTCCTTTTTTCGTGGATCGTATGTTTTATCAAAGTGTATTTTCATAATAATAAGTACATGTATATATTAGCGAATAATTCGTTATTTTAGGAATAATAACGCTAAATTTTAATAATATAAATATCAATTTTTTACGTTATTTTTATATATTCAACCAGTGGAGGGGGCAGTCGGAGGAGGACAGAGTCTCCTTTCTTATTTAATGTAAAATTAAGCGTCCCCTTTAACTTAAGTCTTCAAAGTCCGGGGAGACGCTAAACGGTGTTAGTAATTATCACATAAAATACAAAATGTATTTTTATAGCAAATTATTGATCAATAAATACGAACAAGTAAAAAAAAAAGTTGAAACTGAAAGAAAAACATTTTTAATGACATAACATATTGGAATATATAAGAAATAAATATAAGAACAAATAATAAATAATAATATAAATTCTCGTAATCGTGGGTTAATTTAACAGATGCTGTGTTTACTTATGTCTACTATGTTATCTTATAAACAGATACTCATACCCGGCCACAGATATGTATAATAAACATATATACATTTATTATACATATCTGTGTACCCGGCCGCTCGTGTAGATAACGTGTAGATATGGACCATACGTGTGCGGCAGTGATTCTCAAACTGGAAACCGCGGCCCTCATACACCTCTTAACACGTATTTAAAGTTTAAAATTATACCTGATAAAATGTTGTTAAAAAATGTACTAAAAAACTTTAATTTAATATACATATTAATATTTAAACTGTGTGGAAAAGTACATGTAATTTTATTATATAATTAAAAAAAATAATTATTGATTTTGATTAAGGGAGCATTTTTTACATTAAATTTAGGGGGCCCCATGACAAACAAATTTAAGAAACCTGGTGTAAGGGTATAAACATAGGCTAACCCTCTCCGTATCCGACACTCGATCACTCGACACACCAACACATAATTTATTATTATAATGGCTGTTCTAAAAATGAAGTGATAGACAACAGTATCTAATAATTATCATGGTGTAAACAAGTTACAATAATATATATGTTATGTAAGTCGTTCAGTAATAGTTAGACAGCGGATTCTAAGGTTCTTTAAAATTGAATGTCTGCACTAAAAAAACCCCAAAAAATGCTTAAATCTAATAATTATTCTAGTTTCTTAAAAATATGCTTATATGTGCTTATTACTTAATTGTGTATAATGTTAGAACTTTGGATTTTTGGAATTTGGAACTTTTTGTAACTTGGTAGTTGTCTATTCGCTTCCCCTCATATTTCAATCCTGAATCCACGCCTGATTGAAATTAGCGCATTCAAAGCACGTTGATACATAGTAATAATAGTAACACCAATAATAATTATTTTTTTTTTATTGAAGACACTCTGGAGCAGCCATTCATTAAATATTATCATTCACTGGGCTTAAAAAAAACCGCATAATTTTATCAATGGGACCACGAACGCAATATTGCAACTTGCCTAGTTTTCTGTTAGTGCCTGATTGTCGTGCGGTTCACAACACATTCGACACGCTAACGAAAGATAAACATAAATATTGTTTTCATCCCTTATCGCTGCCGTAATCATTTGTTGTTGTTTCGTTATCACTGCTCCATTTGAATTTGATAATATTATTTTCCTACCATAGTTTGTAATCCCACGCTGGTCTTGTTTTTAAATTTCTTAAGCTCTCCCCATAATTTGTGGATTTTGTTTTTTTGCGAGGACGTCTGATCACTGTCGAACTCGTGTGTAGAAAATGTGTGAACAATAATTATTAAGTAGCAATTCCCGTTTTTAAATCGTTCTGAACATGGCTCTTCAATTTCGCGTTGCCTCAAAGTTGTTCGGATTTTATAGAATTTGCTCCACGTTCCGATGCAACCGCGTGGAATGTCAATCCCGTTTGATGCGTTCACTGCCGGCATCGAACGTTCCGAAATGTACCCAAAACGTGAGTGAACATGTTACATAAACAGCATAGGCATGTGCCGACAATACTCACAGGTGGTGCATTCCTATTTTACTATTTACCTCTAATATTTTTGCTATCATCTAAAATGTTTTCCTATACAAAATATTAGAAATATTTGGCATGGTTTAACTTAAAATAATTTTTTTTTTATTAATTGTATAATCATTACCATTTACCTTAAAAAAAAAAATACATAATAACCAAAACATTTATTATTTATTTATTTGCTTATAATATAATATTTATGAAGAACATACATTTTCACTTAATATCTTTATGAAAATTAAAGTTCAAGACGATATATGGCTGGAGTTAAGGATTTAAATTCTTCAATGATATCTTTAAAAATTTTAATTTGTAGCCATTTCTTGCTTTACATATATCATTAATAAACACTCAAGACATTTTTGTGACATCTGACTCCTTAATTTATTTTTAACCAAACTTAATTTTGAAAAGGTTCTTTTACAGCTACAACTTGTAACCGAAATTGTTACAAAGAGCGATAATGTTTTAAAAATGTTTGTTAAAAAATTGTTTCTATAACAAACACCTGGCCGTAAAGCCACACTGCCGCAGGTAGTGTGCTTGCATACCCTGCACCACCTGTGCGCACGTCTATGATAAACAGTGAGACTCTAAATTACAAGATTCAGTGTTGTGTAAGAATCAATCGTTATTGGTTATTTTAAACAACTATTGGTAACCCATAGGCAGCCAGTAGTTTGTATTAAAATATTATTTTTCAAATAATATTTGGGATTAAAATTATTTTTATTATCAATTGAAAGCTATTTATTTTTCATTATATCATGTTTTTTGTTTAATTATACACATTATATCTATGTTCAAATTTCTAGTCAATCCTTTTAAATTATACTTTATTCTTACAGGTGCGATGTATTAGCTCTCAAGATACAAAGATAATTGATCTTAATTATGCAGATCTTGATCCAGTGTATGTACCAATTAAAAAAGATGAAATTGAAGTACAAGGTGTAGAAGATGTACAAGAAGATCAACATTCAATGAATTTGGTTTGTCCTATCTTAAGGGTTAATTATATACTTAATAGTTTATAAAAAAAAAAATTAAAAATATAGTATTAGTTAAAATTACAATTTAAACTATACATAAATATAATTTATTAAATGTTTATAACTGAGAATTTGATTGTGATTAATAATTATAATGCATTTAAGTATTTCATCTAAATAAAAACAGTATAATATTATTTTTATTTTTAATTTTTCTTGGGTGTCTTAATTTTACAAAACATTTGTCACGTTACAACTAAAATCTCATTGATTATTAAATCATTATGAGAACATTTAATATTATCCTGAAAATGTAAATCTTATCTTACTTCCAAATATTTATGATACTATCATTTTATGCTTGAAAATATGAATAAAAAATGTGACATATTCCTTAAAAATGTTTTTTATGATCTCGATATATCTTGTTTTTAAATTTAAATTATTAATATATTAACAATAAAATATATTTTATTTAATTGTATGTATTAATTGGTTTTAGGACGTTGTAATAAAATGTAAACGAAAAGCTTTAAACCATCAGAGAAACCAAAGGTATGAAGACTTTAAAGAAATTCCACTTGCATCAAAAGGATGGAAAAATAAAAAATCCAAAGATGATTATTTTATAATTAATATTTATAATGATGTACTTAAGTTAATTTTTTTGGCTATTTTTATATCATTGCATTTTAATTTATTTATTGTTTCAAATTAGGAATATTTGCCTCAGAGCAGAAAATGTTTGCTTGACTTTCAAAGTACTGGATTGTCACAGCCTATTATTGATATATTAAAAAAACAAAAAATTATTAATCCTTCGGAAATTCAAGTAAAAACCAAAAATACTCATAAGATATTTAGTTTAATTTTTCTTTTTTTTTCAGGCATTAGGGATTCCATCAATATTAAAGGGTAAGAATACTTTACTTGCTGCTGAAACTGGCTGTGGTAAAACATTAGCATATTTGTTGCCTATAATTCAACAAATATTAGCTCATAAAAGTAAAGTGAAAGTACAAAATCAGTTTAATAGTCCTTTAGCTTTGGTTATTGTACCTGGCAGAGAATTAGCTGATCAGATAGGAGTATGTATAATAAATATGTATATTTATTTAATAAAATTGTCTGTAATTAATTATTTATATTCATATAATAAATTTAATGGATTACCTTATCACATATTTTAAATTATTTTTAATAGGAGTTTGCCAATTGGTTTACTGAAGATCTACCGTTAAATGTTAAAGTGATCACTGGAGGTCACACAAAAAGACTAATAACTAATCCAGTTTTTGAAGAAAATGATTTAATTATTGCTACAATAGGAGCGTTAAGCAAATTAACCACCACAGGTTAAATATTTAAATAACAATGGTCTAATAAAATGTTAATTTTTATATTTTAACATAAAAAAAAAATATATCTATTCTTGTCACTAAAATAAACATTGTACTGTTTATTACAGGCATATACTCAATGCGTTATGTTCGTCATGTTGTATTGGATGAAGCAGATACTCTTATGGATGATAGTTTCAATGAATTAGTGAATCATTTCTTATCAAGATTTCATGTACTTATAAATAATGATTATTATTTAAAATATTAAAACTATTTCAAACTATTATTATTAATGATTATATTAACTTTGTATTTGTTCTTATAGTTCAAGACTGGTAATGGAAGATCATCTAATTTAAACTTAACTCAATTATTGTTGGTTAGTGCCACAATGCCAACAAGCTTATCTGATATTTTGGGTGGAATAATAGATGTAATTATATTTGTTTATATACTTTATACATCTTTTATATTTATTAACTTTTAAATCAAATAAGTTTTTCATTTATATTTATTCATAGGTGGACAATTTAAATAAAATTAAAACTGACAAGCTACATGGCATCCTTCCTCATGTTCAACAAAAATTTATTAAAACCAATTTAGGGGAAAAGCCATCAACATTGTTATTACTAGCGAAAAAACTTTATAAAAGCAATACTCCAACAATAATATTTTGGTAAAATATATGACTGTTGATATTTATTTACAATTACCAATTTTTGACATAAACTAACTTAAGATTACTTGTAGTAGTTTATAAAAGTTTAATACATTTTTGGTAAATTATTTTTGATAAAATTTAATCAGATATTATGTTATTTATAATTAATGAATGTATTACGATTAGGTAAAAATGTAAGTGAAAAGTATTGTATTTTCAAATTAAGTTAATATTAATGCCTTCCAATAAAAAGTACAAAATAGTAAAACGCATTTCTGATTTCACTCAATATTAATTTTCATACTTAAGTTAGAAAATGTTTTGAATATGTTTATGTATATTTTTTAATACATTTTAAAAAAAAAAAGTTGATTTTCAAATTTTTAAAAATACAACTTTTAATGCAATACATTTGTAGTTAAAAATTAAAAAATAATTAAAATAACTTTTAATTTGATTAGTTTGGTCCAAATATGTCTTATATAAAAAATAATATTTTAATTTTATTTACATTTTATTTATTATAGTAATAAATCAAGTACTTGTGATTGGGCGACAATGTTTTTAAATGAAAATGGCATCAAGGCAATAAATTTACATGGTGATATGTTGTATGAAATTAGACAGGGCCAATTTAAAAAATACCAAAATGGCTTGGTCAACATATTGGTCACTACAGATATAGGTTCCAGAGGATTAAATACAATACGGGTAAATCATTATTTATAATTTTTACTACTTTTTATATGTATATAATTTTAATCATATGGCTTTTAGACTAAGCATATTATTAACTATGAATTCCCTCATTATATTGCTGACTATATACATCGATGTGGACGTACTGGGCGTTTAAATTCTGGTATAGATGGTAAAGTTACCAATTACATATGTACGAACAATGAAATTGAATTGGTTCAAAAAATAGAAGTGCGTACTACAGTTATAAAATGAATAATACAAATTTTATTGTATACACAAATATATTCACTGTAAAACTATTATATTTGCTTTATAGCTAGCTGCACGTACAATGAAGTCTTTGCCAAATGTTAATGGAAACATAACAAAAATACGAAGATTTCATATATTAAATAATCTGGAAAATAAAGTTAGGGATTCAACTAATTGAAATTGTTTATCTATCCTGTGTAAAATGTATGTGCATCAAATCTCAATAAAATTTATTTTTGGCAGTTATACAAATTATAAAATAAAAAAAAAAAAATGTTGTTATTTTGTATATTATTCCTGTTTTTTTTTTTTACCCATAATATATCAATAATTTTCTTAAGTTAATAAAGGATTTCCGACGCTTCGGTATCTGATTTATATTATCAAGGAATAAAAAATATTTCCATATAAAAATCATTACCGTGTAAGTGATCCAAGAAAATAAGTGCAGGATGACATAGGATCCTAACCGATCTCAGAACCTACGGGCCTGGTACGGTGGTACGTAATTATTATTGATTGATTTGTTGGGTGTGCACGATGGTTTATCGTCGTCGAAACGTATTTTGGCCATTATGAACATGGATCATCAATCTCGTAGAGAAAACGGACGCGAACTACAGTACACACATAAAGATGAAACTAAATAGGAGGTACCTACATTTGACAAAAAAACAAACAATTGTATGGGTTGCAAGTATAACGGGAAGGGATGACGAGTACGGGCATAATAATATTAGCCGCGTCGAACAGAACGGTGAAGGTTGGGCTGCTATCGGTACCATGCCGGACTACGCGTGTATATCGAAACGACGGTGTCTTCGTCGTCCGCGGCCGAGTAGTGCCGGACAAACGCGTCGCCGCACTGGATCTCGTGCGAGGCGAACGCGACGTCGCGGCTACGCAACCCGTGGTCGGCGCGGAACGCGTCCAACATTTTGGTGCCGACCCGACGACGTCTGTGGCCGACGGCCACCCAGATACGGGACACACCGTGTTTGACAGCGCGCCGACGGTCCGGCGATGGGCGACCATCGGGCCCGAGCGCGTGGGCTGCGGTCACCGGTTCCGTTTCCAGGTAACCGACCACCGTCGCGGCGGCCCGGCGCACAGACACCGTCAGATAGACGAGCCGCTCGTACCGCCGGACGCCAGTCTCGGTGACGCCCAGCTCCGCGTCCACGTACTCGCGGACGCGGCGCACGAGCTCGTCGCTGTACCGGTCCGGCTCGATCCTGAGCACCCGGTACGTTGCCGGTCCTCGGACCACGTCTGCGGGACCAAGCGGCGGCACGGCGGACCGGAGCGCGTGCAGCATCCGGTGAAACGAATCGTTCCAATGCGCCGGTACGAGGTGCGCGGGCGCGTCGCACCCGCGGCACCAGTTACCGCC